TACTTACGTTGTTGACTCTCCTTAAATTTTTGTAACTAATAAAACCAAACCAAGTCAGACGAACTCAGTACGTCTCACGCAAAGGTAGGGTCCAGGGTATATAATGTACACAGACTGTAATTATTTAAAAAAAATTAGCATAAAAATCACAGCTTAAATACTTTTTAACCCCAAAACATATTATACATCATATCCCCAGATCCTATCATACATCATATCCCAGATGTTCTAAGGTCCAATGCCATGACTTCAAATCGTTAAGGATAACCACAAGGGTGGTGTCTGATTGGTTTGAGCTTGGCTCCAAAGGACAAAAGTAGCAGGAGGTCACAAGTTCAAATCCAAGGAGGAATAAAAATCTCCTCGTGAACACGGAGGTTCAAATGTGGTGACTTCGGGCTATCTGCAAAGCAGGTGGTCGTCCTGGGATTAGTCGGCTCGCATAACGGGTTGGATATTATCCAGGTTAATCAAAAAATATCGTTAGGGACTGATAAAGACAATAACAAAAACTTGAAGGACTAAAAACGAAAAGTGAGTTGGTAAATATCATAATTAGGTCTTGTGAAGAAGTGTCACTTTCCACATGCATGCAAATAAAATATATATATAAATAAATCTTAAAAAGAAAAGTTGATATTCAAAATTTAGCACTTTTTGGAAGAAGAAGAATGGGAAGTGTACAAGTGAAGTAGCAAAAGGTACAAGTTGGCAATGCAGAGATTTGGTCTTCATAAAGAAGAAGGAATATGACGTCAGCATCATATGCATGGCTACGTTTTTATCACTTTTATGGATTCTTCCCTCTTACTTTCTTTTTTTACACATCAACCCATTGCTTTTTAGAGACAAGAATCCCCAAAGTAAATTGTAATAAATAAGAAATTAGTGTTTTTTTTTCCTTGTTAATGACAGGTATACGTACCAGTTTGTGTGCATCTTGATTAATTTCAAGGGTCCTGGAAAACAGTTAAAAAAATCACTAATAGTCTTGAATATAGATGGCCAAATGGGCCCGGTCCGGCCCGTAATCGATGGAGGCCCGTAACCGAAACGGACGAGGGACCAGAACCGATCGGGCCCGATAGTAACCGGTTGTGGACCGGCAGTTATGAACCGGTTGATGTTTTTGGCTTTTTCTAGGACCGGAACCGGTTATGGGCCCGGCCCGGCCCGGTCAACGAAAGTCAACGAAACATATTTATAAAATTATATATATATATATATATATATATAAAACAAAACGTATTTTTAAACATATTTATAATAAAACGTATTTATAATAAAACATATTAAAAATAACATATTTCAAAGATATTAATAACATATTATAAATTTATTAATTACCAAAAAATTGAAAAAATAAATTTGCGAAGGACCGGCCGTAACCGGTTATAGGACCAGAACCGGGACCGGACGGCTTAACCGGTTACCGGTAAGCTTGACCGGTTATGAGGGATTTCACCGGAACCGGGACGGGTTATGAATGATTTTTGTCTTGATCGGGACCGGCCGTAACCGGTTAATACCCGGCCCGGGACCGGTTTTTGGCCACCTATAGTCTTGAAGGATATGAACCGATGAGGCCTTTAAGGAGAATCCAGTAGGAAATTAGTTTGCTTTTCTTATAATTCAGTTATTGAATTTTTCTGATAACTATTAGGGGTCGTTTACTAAACGCTTACCCGGTAAGTACTTACCGGGAAATTTTTCTCACCGGATGAACATGACAAGGGTCAAGAATCTTACCCGGTAAAAGCGATGATAAGGATTGAGATTTGAGAGTCTTACCCGGTAAGTGAGGGTGACGTCTCTTACCCCGGTAAGCGCTTACCAGGTAAATTGTTGTATATGATACGTTTTGATATACTACAATCTTATCCAATAAAATAAATTATAGTGTTGACTTCTAATGTTAAGCACCTACCGAGTAAGCATTTAAGTAAACGACCCCTTACTAAAAATTTAACTTTTAAAAGTTGTAGAAAAACTGTTATAAGAATCATTAAACTTCTTCATTATGTATAGGTGTACCAGTACAGAACAATTAACTGTTATCCACAATAATCATCCAGAGTAAATTTACATCGGTGATTATCGACGGATCATCCAGAAGATACTAATGGTTCGGTAGAATCTGATGTTTTTCGAGAAAATATCAATGGATCTACCAGAAAATCCTTGGGTAATCTGTCACTAATTTGAACTACCCACCAATTTTTGTGACGATTTTATGATGATTCACCCTTTTAGCGACATATTTCCTAGAGAAAAATGCGTAGACAAAATTCTTTCATTTAGTAGTATACAGGTTTTTCTTAGAGCTGTCGTTTACAGGTAGTATGATGTGTTAGACATGATTTGTTAACAAAGCAAGCTCACATAACCATTTTAGAATATATGGACGTGTCTGGGCTTAACCTTTAGAATTAATGAGCGGACTCGGGTGAAAACGAAAATTCAAACAGACGCGTTCGACCCGTTATTATAATTATTAAAATTTATATATAATTAATATTTTATTTATTAAAAAAGGTGTAGAAATTGTTTTGGGTTGTACTTCTTAACCCGCTACCAACTAGAGATAGAAATTTTATCTGTAGGTCTCGGCATCCGCGGATACCCGACCCTTAGCGGCAGACCTAAAGCGTGATTAAGGGGGTCAAATGACCCTAGTGATGGCCAAATGGACCTGGCCTGGCCCGTAACCGTCGGAGGACCGGAACCGGGACCAGTTATGACGGGACCGGTTACCGCCGGTTTTTGGCTTGGTTAGGACCGGTAGGAACCGGTTAAGGCCCGGCCAGGGACCGGATTTTGGCCATCACTAATTGTCCCTCATAAACTTTTAAAAGATTTGGTTTTTATATTATAAATTTTAATTTTTATAATTATATATATTATTTTGATCCCAACAAAAATAAGGTTTGTCCCATAAAAAATTAACCTTGTTTCATTGACAATTTTTTATATAATTTCTTTTTTATATTAATTGTTAGGGTTATGGTTTGTTAGTTGACTTATAACCATTACGGTTTATTTTTTATTTTTTTGAAGTATATAATATTTATATACGGCAAATAGAACAAATAAATTCACACACCCTCTTCGTATTTGATGAGGTTTGAATCTCTGACTTTCTAAGAGACCAAAGACTCATGTACCGCTAGGTTAAAGGCCCTTTGGTTGTTACGGTTTATTAGTTGATGCCTAATTGTTAAGATTATAGTTTATTACTAGTTGATGTCTAATTGCTACTTTTTTGTTAATTGTCAGTGTAAGGATCTGTCAGTTGATGCTTAATTATTATATTTTTGTTTTTGTTTTTTTGGTTATTTCACTACAAAAATGATTTTTTTTAAATACATCCGGAAGTGGTTATAATTCTTATAATATTCCTTAACGGACTACAAGTTATAACCGTTAGTTTTCAGTACATCTCGTGTTTAAGATAGTATGACGTTTGTCAATTTCATTGGAGTCATGCCTATTAACGAAAAGGTCTAAGTATTTTCGGGTCACGTGAAGAAGACATTTCGCATGTCCATACTGAAAATGACACAGTCGGAATTAAGATCCAATAACCGAAAGAGCAACATATGTTGTCCATCTGAATAATTCCTCAAAATCCTCGGCCTATCTATACTCATTAGTCATTACTGCATCAGATCTTCATATTATGTCTAGACGAGTACAGTTTGCCTCAGACAGGTAGACTTTGATTCTGATACCATGTAAAAATATGTACAATCTTATCAGATTACACTCTAAAAGATCCTTGATGAAAGAATGGATACCAATATATATTAAGAATAAATTATCCAAATCTAATTAATGTAAGCATCCAAACAACAATTACAATTGATACAAATTAGGACTACTGCCCCTTTATAATAAGAATGTATACATATTAATAAGAAGCTTCTAGAGACAGAAACAAAGCGGGTATTGGACAGCTAATGCATCCCCTATCCTCAACCCTGATCCCCGTCAAATCTCATCCCCACCTCGTTGTGTAAGAAGAGATCTGAACCCTTGATCATTTTTAGTCACATCCCATCCAATGAATTGCGCTTGATACGGGAATAGATCGGGTACATTTTATTACTGTTGATCTTCAAATATGATTGATCCAAATGTGGAGATCCTTTCTTACCCTTCTCATGATAACTTTCATTCACACCGGAACATAATCCCATACATATATACATTTATTTATATATGCACTATATATATTAAATAAAATAAAAAAATTAATTGAGGTCGGATTAAGCATGGTAATACCATCCCCGACATCGCCCCGACCCCGCTACGAAATAAAAATAAATCCACCCCCCATCCTATCACCCACAAAAGCAGGGAATTCTGACCCAGTTAGGGTGACGACAGGTACTTGCCCCTACGGGTAAAATTTCCGTCTCCTACTTCTAGGTTGTGTCATTGATATTTAGGGGTTGTTTATCTAAACACTTACCGGTAAATTTCAACAATATCGCTTACTTACAAGGTAAGACTTTATTCACTAAAACGCATCGTATGCAACAATTTATCCCGGTAAGCGCTAACCATGGTAAGAGTTCTCGTCCTCACTTACCGGGTAAAACTCTAGATTCTTGACTTCGCTCTTACCGGGTAAGATTTTTAGTCTCTGTCATATTCATCCGGTAAAGTAAAGTGACTTGGTAAGCGGTTACCCGGGTAAGCGTTTGGTAAACGGGAACTTAGTTAAAGGATGCTATCATATTTGGTTTCATTCCCAATACATCATATTTGGGAATCATAACCAAGGACCATGATACTTTAAGTGCATATCAACCCTATAAAATGACACATATCAATATAAAAACTTGTTGTCCCATATTTGATACGATATTATGCTAAGACAAAAAATGCCTAAGCAGTACAAAAATGCATTTTTTGGTCCGACCATAGTTGGAAAAAAAATCAAAAACACCAGATAAATTTAGCAAATTACTAAACTACCCATGTTAAATTAAACCCCATATTGAACATAGAACAACAAACTTCATACATCATTGCATTCCCCAAATAAACACCAAAATCGACCGCTAAACCACGAGATTACTTATCATAACAACGAGATACGTTTGATCTAATTAAAACAAACATATATATACAGAAGTGTTCATACCTGACATACGATCGGATGATAACAATACCCTTTTTTTCTTTTTCGTTATTCCGTTATTGCACGATCCTCTTTTTTAAAAGACCAAGAGCACCAAACAACTTCTTGCCGCTAATGACCGGATTAATCAACAGGCGGGAGCCTCAGTTAACTTCATATTGATTGGTGCACAGCCACCGGAAACTTTCAAAGATGCAAAGAGGCACGACAGCTTCGCTATCATCGGTCGGGTTCTTGCCCCCCGTGGAACGAGTGCCAGTTCTTTTCCTTGTGACGGGCTGTGGTACCCTTCTAAATCGGCTTTTGTGATCAGAACCGCATCCCCTGATGGTGATGGTGTGGCGGTGGAAGCTATCCGCCACTGCCTGTATTCTTGAACCGCCTGTAGACATTTGAAAAGAGATTTCGGTCAAGAGGTCTGCTTTCTAGATATCGGTTATTCCTACCGGTACCGGATACTGCCTCTGTTCCAAAATAAATGTCCATAACGAAAAACGCACACAATTTAGAAATACGTAATCTTTAAAGCATCTCCAATGGTAAAAATAAAAACTTGATGAAAAGGTTAACCATTAGAGCAATAACTTGAAGAACTGCTTGACATGCAAAAGCTTGGGAGATGTCAATTGTTCGAAGATTCATGTATGTGTATTAAAAATACAAAAAAATCTGTCTTTTAATGGTTCTAAAACCCTCTAAATGATTTTGTATCATGGATCTCCCTTAACCATTAAGAGCCCTAATTTCATTGTACAATTACCAAACAATTATATTTCATTTTATATTATATCATGAGAACCTTTTAATCATTCTGACCACTTAATCATTCTGCACCAAACCAATCAGCAATTGCCAAACAGCCCACATTGAAGCAAGTATTTGAAGATGAGTTTTTGTTAGTGGAAATCTGATGTGACAAATAGATCAAGTCTTTTAAAGACTTGACCATTGCGGATGCTCTAATTAACTAAAGAGTAAATTACAATTTTCGTCCTTGGGGTTTGTTTAAAAGATATGATTTTTGTCCTTGTGGTTTAGAAATTGTGATTTTCATCCCTACAATTAATTTACAATTTATTGTTGTTTCAGTCCCTATGGTTTACAATTTTTTACTGTTTTGGTCCATTGTACTTAAAGGTAGGGACGAAAATCGCTATTCCTAAACCACAGTGACAAAAATCGAAATTATTAACAAACCATAGGGACGAATATCATAATTTACTCTTAACTAAATGACATTTTACTGAATTACCAGAGATTTATGGCTTTCTCTATCTCATAATCAAGGGTAGAACTGGAAAGTACTGATTTTGGGACTCTTTGACACTTTGGGACATATTATATAGCCCAACCTATGAACCCACCTCAATAAAGACCTGTACAATTTCTTTCAAAATCAAAAGCGACTATTAAATTTCAGAATTTGCCGATCAAAAACAAAAACAATTCTTTGATATTCTTCTCAATTTGTCATTTTAAACATATTTGTTGTTTTAATTTACAAGATTTTTAATAGGATATGAAATTTTATATTTTATTTTATTTATTACTAATTTCAAATGATCTTATAGTTTTAGTACCGGTGTAGCAGGGCCTCTAAAAAGATTGGGACTGCCCTTGATTCCACACATTCGTATAGTTGTAATGGATTCTTTTACATTAGGAGGAGCTAACCTTCCATTGAGATGGAGCCAAGAGCACTCTAGGTCGTCTAGATCGCACGTATTCCAATGCGGACGCAGGAGTCATGTGCTTGTATTCCACCTGCATAACATTTAGACCCAACTCAATACAAGTTCCAACGTTCAAATAAAATATTTCCAAGCTTCCAATAGTGACCACACGCGAATTCTAAACCGAAACCAAACTGAAGAAACGCAGTATATCCCACTCGAAAGCAGGATCTAGGAGATTTGGAATGTATATGCAGACCAGACGTCTTCCCTAAAGGAGTTGTTTCCATGAAGACATGCAAACCTCCATCTATAGGACTTAGTTAGGGCCTGTTTTTTTAGCACCCTAATGAGCTAAATGGGACTCACAGCTTATTCGGTCAGTTATACATGACCGCTGGTAGTGGCTTAATGATACTGAAAGTGGCTTATTCAGTAAGCTTCAAGGAAGGAGTTTATGCAGGAAGTAGAGTTTTATCCAAACCTGTCTCACCCAACTAAAGAACTTTTGTTTGAGAGGATTTTTTCATAGATGGAATGAATATGTTCTTTACAAGAGTTTTTGGTCTAGCGGTATGTGAGTCATTGGATTTCTAGGAGGTCATGGTTCAAATCTCACCGAAAGGTGAGGAGGGTGTGTGAGTTTGTTTGTTCTATTTGCCATATATAAATATTATATACTTCAAAAAAGAAAAAAAAAACCTTTCCATCTATAAAGACGGATTAATGCACACAGACATCTTTATCCATACAAGACTTAATTTAACACCAACGTACTTGATTAAGTTAAATTTTGATTTATGTAAGTAAGAATAATTGTTACCAAATAGCAAAGCACGATCGTCGTACTCCTCCCCCTCCCAGCTTTGCAATGAACATATGTGGTTCGGCAGCTGGTTGCATTCTCTACAAAACAAACCATATATATGTCGGTCCCAGAAAGAGTATATTAAAGAAAATATTTGCAAAAGAAACTTATTTACTTACTGTGAATGAAATTTACTGCTCGATCAATGTCAACAAACGAGGGGGCAAATAGGTAATCTCTTGTCGGTATAACAAGATGGTCTATACCATGAGCCTGGAAGAAAAAAAAGACAGAAGAATGAATGAATTTAAAAAATGAACAACTTCAAGCTGGTAATCTCTTGTAGGTATAACAAGATGGTCTATACCATGTATCCGACAAATTCAGGCCGGGATGTGTTTGGTACGTGGGACAAGACTGAACAAAAACTTTCTTGTTCCTCGTTTGACATGACATTAGACTAGGACATGACATCGTTGACTCACACCAAAACAGCTAGAACAAAAATCAAGGAGGTCAGAGAAGATTGGTAAATTACTAAACTATCCATGTCAGTTAAAAGACCTTATTGACTAAAATAGCCAATCTCCCCACCTCCAATCACTTTTTAGCCATATTTTCAAGGCAATTCCCAAAATAGCCATTCTTTCCCCTACCTACCTCATTCTCGTCTGTTCAGTCCCGACTACATATCAAACGCAAAGCATGGTTGTATAAGTTTAAGTGCAAAATGATATTATACCAATAGCACTTACGCGGTATAAGGACGTGGGAACCAAAGTTTCATAAGGTTCGTTGAGGGTGATGACACCACCAACACCAAGCTGCTTCAATCGTGGAACATCCTTTGGAAATGGAACGGCACCAAGCAGAAGATACTAAATATATGAAAAGCAAACAAGTTTGAGACACCAAATTACATATCATCAAGTACTCTTGTCAATTTAAGCTTGCAGCATTAATAAAGATAACAAAAATCATCTCTTCGACCCAAGATCATAACAAATGCAAATGTTCACTAAAACACTAAAAACAAAGCAAAAAGGAAAAGATTTCTTATGGTTCATTACAGCATTTCCAATGGGAGGTTCTTATGAGCTAAAAGAGTAGGTTCTTAGAAGAACCACCATTGGAGAGTGGTTTGAGGAGAGGAACCAATTTTCTGAATCGATTGATTGAAAGGAGAGAACATGCGTTAGCCTCTGTTTCTCTTCTTCAAAAATGCGTCGGGCGAGTTTTCTAGCCGCACCCAAGTCGAGCCGTCAAAAATCAAGTGGCCACGTCCCTTTTCGAACGGTTTCATGAGAGGAGGTATAGAAATCAGTTCTAAAACCGTCGATTGAGGAGAGGAACCAATTTTCTGAATCGATTGATTGGAAGGAGAGAACATCCAACGTCGATTTTCAGAATTTCAGGGAGATTGGAGTCGATTTTGGGGAATGTTCCTAGGGTTCTTCGTCATTTACTGTTTTCTACCATTTGTAAGTTCAAGTTCTGTTTCAAAATATGATTACGATAAGGGTGTTTGGGGATTGCTTATAAAAACTAATTTATTGATTTATTATGTTGTGGTACCGATAAGTATTTTTGAGTGTTTGTTTAAACAATTTTTACCAATGGCAAACCGGTAATAAAGAGTTTTTGAAAAAGTTAAAGTCTTCTTACTTACTTATAATAAGTTGATAAGTGCTTTTGTGGAAAAAGCATAAATTCTTTCAAAGTGTTCTTCATTTTTGGGTTTTTAGTTTTGAGAAGGATCCCTCGAATCCCATAACCTAAATATGAATTGCTAGTGGTGATTAGGAACCCGTAATTATTCTTAATTTCAATTTGGTAGCAAGTAATGCATCGATAGACCATCAAATCAATCGATTTGCATTATAAGATTGTGTAATCTAGCTTAAATATCCGGCTTCCGTTTATTAGTAAGGATTGGTGCTTCTTTATTGCTTAATGCAATTGGTAGGTTGAACTCTACATCCGTGACTAGAACCAATTAGGAACTAATCCACCGAACCCCTCGTGCTAGTTTAATCATAAGGACAAGCGGAGTGTTTGGCACGTCTCGACACTGACGCCGGTCTAAAATCAATTGAGAAAATGTTTTTATACAAGTCAATGATCCATGATTTGATAAAGAACTAGTTATACTCGTCACCATGAATCGTTCTCTATTTGTTTAAGGTTTTGTTTAATTTTTATGCCTAGATTAATGAACAACTTCCAAGGGATAAGATTCCACATCGGTTGGGGTGGGAACAAAGGCTGCCTTTAATAAGGTACTGTCTATCAGACACGTTTTAAAACCGTAATACCAGACAAAGCACACAAAATCTAGGTGTTTGGGATTGCTTATAAAAACAACTTATTGACTTTTTCCGGTGTAGTACCGGTAATAAGCATTTGTGTTCGGATAAACAACTTATACTGGTGTCAAACCGGTAATAAGAAGTTTTTGAAGAAGTTAAATCGGTAAGTGTTTTTATACAAAAACATAAGTTGTTTCAAATAAGCAATTCCAAACACCCCCGTTACGATTTGCTTGGGATGTTAGAAACTAATTTACCACCCAAAAGGAAATGAAATATACACGATAAACACAGATCAACATCTTTGAACACAGAATAACAACACAAATGATGATCGCAGATTGAAAACACGAACCTGATCAATTTGATCCCACCATCTGAACTCAGCTTGAATCTTGTTACGACAAACATTATACAAAAGCGTAGGGTAAAACAGGATCCGAGCTCCAGCACCAACTAACACTCTCTTCGCATCCACCGTCACAATCTGCCGACTATAATTATAATCCACAATTTGTTTGCTATTCTTCACCTCACACGAATCATCCAAATCCACGATCTTCATGTCACAGATCGCAACCAAACTTCAAACAAAACCAAAACCAAAACCAAAACCGTAACCCCTTTAATCAACCCGATGGTTTCAGAAACACCGAGACGTGATTGCAAGGTTTTAAGAGACGGATCCAGAGTGAATACGCAACATTTTCCACTGAAAGATTGATTTGAGCTATAAATAGGACATTGATTACCAAATTGGGGAAGATTTGGATCGATTGAAAGTGGGAAAAGAGGGCATTTAATGCTGGATTTGATGAATTTGAGTTAATTTATGGAGAATTAAGTGATATTCTGTGGAGAGTGAGTGGGAGATACCGATTTGGGGGAAAGAGAAAAAGGGGAATCGGTGTGGAAGAAGAAGGAAGGATTTGGGCAGATGTTTTGACCTTTGACTAAGGGTTAATTACGAAAGAACCTGTTTATGGAGAAGGAAATATGCCGTGACGCAACGTATATTATATAATTGTAGTACTACTTTTGGACGTTTAATAATTCAGGGACGTTTCCTGTCCCACCTGATCTCTTTACAGATATATAAAATATTTGGGAAATTAACTCAAATAGTTTAAAGGGTCGTTTACCAAACACTTACTTGATAAGTGTTTATCGATAAAATTTAACATTATTATTTATTTATAGGGTAAGATTTTAGTCAATCAAAACGACATTATATGCAACAATTCACCCGGTAAGCGCTTACCATGGTAAGAGTCGTCGTCTTCACTTACCGAATAAGACTCATAGTCATTTTCTCGCTCTTATTAGGTAAGATTCATGGTCCTTTTTCTCGCTCTTATCAGGTAAGATTCATGGTCCTTTTTCTCGCTATTATCGGATAAGATTCTTAGTTTTTACCATATTCATACAGTGACGTAATGTAACTTGATAAACACTTATCCGGGTAAGTGTTCGGTAAACGGCCCATAAACTTGTGGTTTCATCTTTTAGTCATATATCTTCAAAAATTATTGAAATATCACTTGGTCTCTAAGTGATAAATCAGTAATTTATAGAGGTGCCAAAGTGTAAAATAACTGAACGAGTTTCGAGAGACCGAATATGTAAATTAGGTGTAGATCTGCAAGGATGTGTTTTTTTCCAAATTTATATTTTTAGTCTCTGTAATTAAGGATCCTGGTTCAGAAACTTTTTTTATTACACTTTGACTCATCTGCAAATTGCGAACTGGACACTTACGGGCAGAGTGATATTTTGGTAATTCCTGGAGAGAAATGGCTAAAAGGTGAAACTGTGAGCCAAAATGTTAACTTTAATTAATTTCTCTAAAAACTTTGGGTATTTGACTAAAATAGTCAAGGGAAATTGATCATCTTTCGTTAATTGGTCTTCTAGTCATTCTTTTCTCGATTTTATCCAAATGTCACTACTTTCGCAAGTGGTATCTCACTAACTTGTAGAAGTAGCTAAAAGACAAAAATACTACAATTTCTACACATGTCCGCAAGTGGCACCTCCCTAACTTGTGGACCTGGACAGAAATTGCGGATGTGCCACTTGCGAACGTGTGTAGGAATTGTAAAAGAAATTGTATTTATCTACCTCTGCAAGTTAGGGAGGTGCCACTTGCGAAAATAGTAACATTTGGATAAAACCGAAGAGGAATGACTAGAAGACATGTGAGAGAAATGGTCATTTCGGTCGATTTCCAAATGGGCATTCTTCTCACTTTCGTTCATTTTTTAGTTATATGTGTAAAGTGATCTTTAAAATACTTATACTTTACGGAAATGTTTTACGTATTTGCATAAACAACATTTTTTTAATAAAAAGAAAATAAAAAATAGGCATTTATGTATAAAAAATATGCATGTGTAAATATATATATTTATATATATATATATATATATATATATATATATATATATAGGGGTTGGTTCAAATAAAAATCACTCAATTTGTAAAAACCGTGAAAACCTCATTCAACCAATCATAATTTTTTATTTTGTTCATTTTTTTGTAATTATGGGAGGTTGATTAACCATTTTTATTGTGGGGGGTGTTAATCATGGATATTATCATCTTCATTATTTTAATTTTAAAGAAATACATGAAACAGTTTCATTAAAATTTCATTAAGTAGTATATGAAACAATTTCATAACCACATATGAAACAACTTCATCAAAAAAAAAATTATATGAAATAATTTCACAAGATTAACAATTTCATGAAAAAATTTCATAAGATTAACGATGGATGAAAGTAGTTTTTACGGTTTTTACAAATCGGAGTGGTTTTCATTTGATCGCTCCTCTATATATGTATGCATTTGCGTAAAAAATGACTATTTTGGAAATTATCTTGAAAATGTGGGTAAGAAGTTATTGAAGATGGAAAGATCGGCTATTTTAGTCAATTTCCCAAAAAAATGTTCCTTTTCAAAAACATATAAGTTTATTCTTATAAGGTTGGGTTCTGGTTAGGGGTGCTCAAAAACGTGGCCAACACAGCCCAATTCAACGCAAAATAACCCGACATGAAGCAAACTCGATGTCTAGTCGAGTTGTAACATTTTCAAACCGTAAGTATTGGGTTGGAATGGAATTGAGGTCATTGGAACCCAACCCACCCTAACAAACCCGATATTCTTTTATGTCATAAATTTAATATGTTTGTTAAGTCTTTATTATTCTGTACATTAGACAATTACAACATCACGTAGCCTCTTCAGATACATATACTTTAAATTTATCTTTTATGCCTTCATCTACCTTTAATTACTTATTTTTATGGTCATTATCGAAACTTTAACAGATTTATGCATGTGAAAATGATTATATATATATATATATATATATATATATATATATATATATAATTTTGTGAAAACGACTTAAAAGCGAAAATAAATTTGAAGATAATTTTTTTAAGATGTCATATGATAAGTTCTTTTTGAAGTATATAATATTCATATACGACAAATATAACAAAAAAACTCACACACCCTCATCACGTTTGGTGAGATTTGAACCACTGACATATACTAAGAGGTCAAAGACTCACATATCGCTAGGCCAAAAGCCCTTCGAAACTATATGATAAGTTATATGACAACATAAAATGACTTTAAATGACATCTTCAGAAACTAATTAGAAATATATTACAAGCATGACTAAAAAATATTTGATACTTACTGAAACATTACTTTAAATAACGCTTTAATAATCTATCTCATAAAATAATTTATATTTTATTAAATAAATAAAAATCTTTCATTAAATTCAAAAAATAAATTACCTTACCGTTATCATAAATAGCCTAAAAATACATATATTTATACTATATTATAAAGTATTTGACAAATACTCTTATAAACCATTTTTTATGTATGAAGTACTGTTTATTGATGCATATTACTTAAAATTTAATATTACAAGTAAATTGTATGTAAATACAAATTTTTAAAAGTTCATGTGTTGAATTCGTGTAACTAGTTGTAGATAACCATAATCTAGAGAATAAACATCTCATTTTATATATAAAAAATGTAATATATAATTAGAATAATCATTGAGTTATAACAAAAAATACTTGATTATTATCTATATAGAACAATATATTATTAAACCCAAAATAAAAAATGAATTAAGGAAAATACACAAAAAAAGAGAAATTTTAAATAATTAGTTTAGTACTAATATTGATATTTATTTTTTCAAATTTTTTATGTATCTTCATATTTATATTTTATTCAAAAATAAAAACATTTTCATTTTCTCAAAACCACATAAAACTGTATTATAACATCGACTGGAACAAAAAAAAAACGAGATTTATCTCACTCTATTGTACGAATATCTTTTTAGTTATTATAAAACACAAATTTGTGATCTAACTAAAAATTATAATAAATTATTAATAAAATCATTCATTGTTTAATAGATGTAAAATGCAATCATACTTACTAAAATAAATGTGGTTGATGTTGATGTTTGAAGCCTTGTCAATTGAAACAAATAACAAATCCATCCATCTATCAATAATCATTACCTATTAAATATATATATATATATATATATATATATATATATATATATATATATATATATATATATATATATATATATATATATATATATATATTGTCATATATAGTTGGTTTAGTTAAATAGCTGGTTTAATATTACTGATTATTGATCGAAACTGAGTTTTCTTGACTTGAAGTTTGTTTGTAAATACAATGACCAACTTACTTAAGATGTATCAGTTTAACTGGTTTATTCAATTTTAGGATGACTGTAAAATACCTCTGGCTTAAATGGGTTATTTTAGTTGTAGTGTTTTAATATAGTTGGTGCTAAGAACATTGGTCCGAATCTAAAATGTAAATTGAATCCAATCGAACCAAAACCATAAAGAGTTTAATTCTAACCATAAATGTGGTGCCTGATTAGTTTGAGCTTCGCTTCAAATGTCAAAAGTACTTGGAGGTCTCAGATTCAAATCCAATGAGGAATAAAAATCCTTGTAGCCACGGAGGTTCAAATACGGTGATTCCAGGCCATCTGTAAAGCAAGTGGTTGTCCTGAGATTAATCGACCCACATAACAAGTTGGATATCTAGGTTAATCAATATAAAAGAGTTTAATCCTAACAATTTTTTTACAGAATTAACTATGTAAAGCAAATATTTCATTCAAAATTGACGAGTTATTTGAAGTAGTCGAAGGAATTACACGTAATTTTTGCCTAATTAATCACTTCAAAAAATCATTTTGAATAAAATATTATTAAACAACAATGATGTTTAAAATTCGATTAAATAAGGATATTTTCATTTTTTTATCATATTTTTTGTCTTTTAACCGATTAAAAAAACGTAGGAACCAAAATCATAAAACCAATTTTAATCGGGTAAAAGACAAAAAAAAAGGACAAAAATACCCCTAATTTAACGGAATCTTTAAAAGATTGTTAGAGGAAGACATCAAATCCGAATGTTTTTTCTGCAAAATCTCATTTTGTAATTTCAAAATTGTAATATATTTAACAACCCACAAGGACCAATTTTTGTAGCTTACTAAAAAATAGGGGAGTAAATTGCAAATTTGGTCACTTTGGTTTATATAATTTTCGGATCCGATCCCTCTAACAAAATAATTACAAGTACTATCATAATGGTTTCAATTTGTTACGGATTTGATCCCTTGTTATAATGTTGCTAACCTTAACTCCGTTAAGTTAAGGGAGGGTAATATGGTCTTTTCCAAATTGATGGTATATTAAATATATAAACACTTGACTACATCGTCCTCCTTTCCCCAAGAATCTCATCGACGACACCCTTGCTTTTTCTTCAACGCCCCTCGTCCACCATCATCTCACGACTCCGGCTACTAACCCTGAATATGGACGGTGGCAAGTGACATCAATTTGTTTATTTTTAAACGAAATAAAAGAAAATTATTAATGACCAAAATGACCTTTGGCGTAACTCTATTAACGTTAGTGAAGTTTAAGGAAGAATTTAAGAGGTTGTTTGTTTAATTCTTAATAGTTCCATTAAGAGGTGAATCAAAAGTTTGCCTCTTCATAGTTCCAAAACTCTCTGAACGATTTTTTATCATTGGTTCCCCTTAACCATTCAGTGCCCTAATTTAATTATAAACAATTACCAAACAATTATATTTTATTTTGCATTATATCATGAGAGCCTATTAGTAATTCTGACTACTTAATCATTATGTATTAAGCCATTCAGTAACAGTCATACATTTCTTAATTTATAATAAAAAATAATTATAATGACGGGCATTATAATTTAATTTGTTTGGAAACTTGATCCATAATTTCATATAACCAGACCAGAGGGACCAAATTTGTAATTTACTCAAAATAGAAAGAAAGACATATATAACGTGATCCGATCCGAACAAAAATCGGATCCATTCGTTTTGCACAGAATTGACGATTTGAAAGTTGCAAGTCCATGAGAGAAAAGCGGGCGAGGATGTCGGTGATTGAATGGATGGATGGATGTAATGATGAACGGAGAGAAGACCGCTCGATCTCAGCTCGACACAATCACCGGTTCTCTTCTTCAAATCTCTTTATTTAACCCTAATAATCGACTTTTCATCTATCAATTTGAATCAAACACACACAGTTGGGATCAAAAATGTCGTGGCAAACTTACGTAGACGAGCATTTGATGTGTGACATCGACGGTAGTGGCCAGCATCTCACCTCTGCCGCCATTCTCGGACTCGATGGTACCGTTTGGGCCCAGAGCTCCAAGTTTCCTCAGGTAATTTATGATTTACATTTTGTTTCTTTTTGCATTTTTAAGCGATTTGGTTTCAATCGTTTTGAATTATGTTGATTCATTCGTACTTTTTTCACAACGCTTGAGTTTTTTGTTGTCGATCTGAATGATTATGGGATTATGTGATCCGATTTGTAAATCTGATCGTTTAATGATGGTTTGCTCATAATTATTGATCAAACATGTTAAATTAAGATGTGTAAATTTGAGGTTTGTCACTTTTGTTTTGCTAATTCGTATATTTGCCTTCCATTTGGTTAAGATATGTTTTCAAATCGGATTATGAATCATGATCATGAGAAGATACGTGAAGTTAAATGGCACATTCGATAGCTTTATTTAATGCGATTTCCTAAATTTATATTGTTTGATTGCTGGTCTGGACACCCACAATTACAAAAAGTTACCATGGAAGTGGCATTAATTAGAGTAGATGTTATTTGCACAATTACTCCGGGGGCAGACCCATTCTATTGGATATGGGGGTAGGGGGCACTGCCCCGTTCCTTCGCCGTGGTGTAAAACATTATTGGGTCGTGAAATGTATCACCACATCATTTATTGTATGCAAACGTTTATCTTTTGAAACTACAATGACGACACAAATTTCTCTTGGTAGAGTTGGTTTACATGCATTTCTACATCCTCATGCGTGGGTTCAGATGTTTTTAGTTTTTAATTTCAGATTTATTATGTTTATGAAGAAATTGATAATAAAAGACTTGAACATTGGACCTTATATATGAAAAGCAAATAACTGATCAACAGACCAATGATGATTTTATGTAAAATGTCTATATCTTTGTTTCTTATAGTTAAATGGTGTCACCACTTGAAGAAAAAAATAGGTCTGACTCTGAATTACTCAGTTAGTCGATGATGAGAGTAATCTTTATAAGCGAAACTCTGCTGTACTTCTAGCAATAAGCTTTTTATATGTAGGATTGAAACTAGAACTGAACTGTAATGTTAAATTACGTTCTATGGTCATCATAGTGTTGGTTAACATCTACATGTTCATTACTATAATTTGGCTATTCTTAGGGGTTGTTTGTTTGGGTTTTCATCAAGTCCTATATGGATAAAGTTGTCTGTATAGATCGGAAAGGTTTTTGTTTGGGAGATTTTTTTATAGATTGAAGGAGTGTGCTTTCTAATTGGGAGGGGCAGGTTTGGAAAAAAACTTGGCTTTCTGCATAAAGCTCCCCCTAGAAGCTTACTGAATAAGCCAATTTCTATATCATTAAACCACTATCAAACTGTGATGTATAGCTGACCGAATAAATTGCGAGTCTCATTAAGCTCATTAAGCTACAAACAGACAGGCCCTTAGCGTTGGTTATCATTTTTCCAACATGCCGTTTTCATTTTGCAGTTCAAGCCCGAGGAGATGAAAAGCATTATTGCTGAATTCAATGATGCGGGTACCCTTGCCCCTACGGGTTTATTCTTTGCAGGCGCAAAGTACATGGTAATTCAAGGAGAGCCTGGAGCTGTCATCCGTGGAAAGAAGGTAACATAGACTTCTCTCACATCCTTGCCCTCTACTTAATTATGGTCATTGTTCATTGGCACGTTTCCTTAGATTTGGACTGACCCAAATACACGATATTATTCAAGTTTCATGTTAACACCATCACATTCACACACATTACATGTACCACCTAGGTCGTCAGTACGAGTTTCCTCAGGGTCATTGGGGATTTTCCTGACTGTTATCTTTAGGGCCCATGGGATTAATTGGGTGTGTGGAATTTGACTTTGACAACCACGGTTACCAAAAAAAAATCTTCTCATCATTGGCAATGTGACTTGCCTCTCCACTTTTTTGTGTGCTAAGGAAACACTTATACATGAATTAGGTTTTTTTTTTTGGTAAGTGTGGGGTTTCAGGACAACTTACGCGCACCAACTAATTCCTCAAGCGACCACGAATGGCCTGGAGTCATCGCAGGTGAATCTCCATGACCACAAGGGCTTTGGCAGTGTCTCTGGGGTATATGAGATTTCCACTACATCTCCCTAACCAGTGCACCCACAAGCCAAGTGGTTAACATGGGTTAGGTTGTCTACATAATTCGTTTTATGTCCGGTGTTGCTTCCGGAGAATGTCATTGAGCTAAATAGCCCGACCATCCAAGTGCACATCTTAAAGCATAATTTGGTTTACTGTTGATCCAATTTTGTGCAAGGATTGCCAAGAGTGCATTCCGACATATGTATTTGTTGCACAACTGATTTTGGTAATTTTCAAAAGGTCAAACTGAATGAAAATGAACGAATTTTGGTACCTCATATGTGATATCTCAAAATCTTGTTACATTTGGTTTGGTAGGGAGCCGGAGGGATATGTATCAAGAAAACTGGTCAAGCCATGGTGTTCGGCATCTATGACGAGCCTGTAGCTCCAGGTCAATGCAACATGGTCGTGGAGAGGTTGGGCGATTATCTCATCGATCAGGGCATGTAGACCTCCTCTTCCTCCTCCCGTCATTATTCAATAACGACACTCCTTTTTCTTCTTCCTTCAACGAATGTGAAGTAGTTTTTTCGTCTACAAATTTGATGTTTATGGAGTCTTGATCTCCAATTCCTTGTTATATGACTGGTTATATGTGTATTGCGTCGATTACATAAGTTCAATAACTTTTTACTCCGTTCTTGGTGCACATTATCGCTCTTGATGTGTCTGTTGTTTGCATTTTTACAGTTATGTTTGGTAAACTAGCTGATGAGCTAGTTGTTGGTTGATAAAGTAGTGATGTTTGGGAAAAACTAGTTGTTCATATGTTTGGCAAACTAGCTGATAAGTTAGTTGTTAGACTGATAAAGTAGTGATGTTTGGCAAACCAGCTATTCACCTAAAAAATTAGATAACAGTGTAAAATGATATAAAATGACGTGTTGAAAAAGCAATTAGAAGTATACAAGGGACATAACTGGTAAAAAAATGATAAAAACTTTATAGTTTATTGAAATGCTATTTATTTGGTGGGAATTTAAAAATGCTAGCTTATGGTTAAACAGATAGGAGGTTTTTTCAATAAGCTTTGTAAAATACTAGAAGAGTTCTCGCGCAATGCAGCGAGACACATCTCGATTTTAATGTTCTATTTTATTATTTGTCTCTGTCGATGTTATAATACGATTTTATGTGTTTTTAAGAAAGGAATAATGATTTTATTTTTAAATAAAATATAAATTTGAAGATATCATAAAAATTTAAAAATATATATATATATATCAATGTTAATRTCAAATCAACTATTTAAATATTTTCATT